AACTGCACATAACAACAAAAAGAATTGTAGAGTGGGAGAATTTTGATAGCTTTCCAGTTCCTTTTTATGTTTTAAATTTGTGCTCTTAAGAAATTGACCAAATCACTCTAGCACTTCTGACTCAGAGTGACATAGTAGGACAGAGTTCCCACTGCCCCATAGGTTTTCCATACTGTCACAGCTTTCTCCCGTGGCGCTAGTGCTGGGTTTGAATTTTTTTTTTCAACCTTTTGGTTAACAGGTAAACACTTCATCACTGTGCCATCAGGGGATCCTCGAAGAGAATGACAATACCCTTAATTATAATGATCATACCAGCTTGACATCTAGGTTATCTGAGGTGTTTTTTTTTTTAATCTCAGGCATCCCGTGCCCTCCCTGCCCCCCACCACACCTAGCTTACTTTTCACAGATAATTTCAGAGAAAGCTGAAGTTTAAATTTAGTGTCTTCTCATGAGTTGTATATTAAAAAATTACTCATTGACATAGGGTTGTAGCTTCTGTCATTAAAAAAAAAAAAAAAATTCATACCCAGTTTATTGTTTTAAACAAATTCTGGGGACATTTGTGGTAATTTTTCATATTCATCCATTTGTAGCATGCATATCAGCATGTCAAATACCCTTACTTAGAGATTGAAGATATTCTACATATGAATGGCTTATTTATACAAAAACAACCTAAAAATATTCATAGCATAAATAAAGGCATATAAAGGTCTGCAACAAGGAAAGGAATCTCTCAGTCCTAGCTGTACACAAGAAATCCTTATGCAGCTGTTTAAAATTATAAAACCTTGGACATCATCCCAGAACTGGATCTCTTGGGGGTGAAATCTGAATATCTGTATTTAGTGAAGCAAAAACAAATTCCCAGATAATTGTGAAAGGCAGCTAGATTGAGAATTGTTTTATTTTGAAGTCACATTTGCTATGTGATTGATTTTATTACTAAATTTATTGTTCGTGCTCTTCACCTAGGAGTGTAGGTTGAGGGTTTATTGCCTACCTAAAGTTTTATCTGCTAGGCACTGGTTTTGTAATGAATTTAAATGACTTTTAATGGGTGGGGATTTCAGATTAGCTGCATAAATGGGGAGGGAGATTAGGGATACTGGAAAATTGTCTTAATAAGACTTGACTTCTTAGGTTACTTGTGTAATAGGTCTTAACCTCACGGAGACATTTTTTTAAATGTAAAAGACATAATGTTTATGGAAGTACTTGCTAAACCATAATACTCATATTAATGTTAGTAATTTAAATATTGATGAGATTGCATCGGTTTTTACTTCTCACGTAGATAGCGGTTGGAAGATTCCTAGGCTTTATGCCACTGGTACCTGTGTGCGCAATGGTCACTTGGCATGTTTATTTAAATGTCAACTAATTAATAAAGTCTGACTTCTGGTATGGCCCCGTAGGATAAACACTTGATCACAAGGTCGATTTGAACAGCAAGTGTGGTGGTTCAAACTCATCAGCTGCTCCTCATCAGCTGCTACCCTATACAGGGTTGAAATGGGTCAGAACCCACTCCACGGAATTTAACAACAAGAAAAAATAATTTTGGAAAGCCTTAATAATTTCACACAAATAAAATTATTAACAACTATAAAAAAATGTTAAAACAGCTTATTATTTCCTGTGTTAGACTTAAATCTGTGTCATTCAGTATAATTGGACTAAATTGTTCTAACCTATTTAAAAGTGGATTCTAATGTGGCATTGGCAAATGCACTGGAAGTAAGCCCATCCTATTACAGATTAGAAAAATAGCCCAGAGGTTCAAGATGGGTTTAAACAAGGACATATGGAACAAGGTAAGATTAGCAATGAACTGCTAACCACACGGTCAGCTGTTCAAGTCTACCAGCTGTTTTAGGAAACCTTATATAGGGTTGCAGTTAATTGGAACTGGCTCGACAGCACTTAACAACAATGGAACAAGGTATATCATTGCTAATGTCAAATGGATCTTGACTGAACACAGAGAATACCACAAAGATGTTTTCCTGTGCTTTATTTACTGACTATGCAAAGGCTTTCAACTGCTCATGAGGACCTGAACAAAGACCAAGAAGCAATTATTCAAACAGAACAAGGGGACAATGAATGGTACAAGGGGACAATGAATGGTTCAAGGTCATGAAAGGTGTGTGCCCCAGGGTTATATTTTTTTCACCATACTTATTCAATCTGTGTGCTGAACAAATAATTTGAGAACCTGGATTATATAAAGATTGGTGTGACATCAGGATTGGCATTATTAATAACCTGTAATATGCAGATGGTAACAACCTTGCTTGCTGAAAGTGAAGAGAATTTAAGATGCTTATAAAGATCTAAGACCACAGCCTCAAACGAAAGTCCTCACCACTAGACTAAAACAACATTTTGATAAGTGGAGAAAAGATAGAAGTTGTCAAAGACTTCATTTTGTTTGGATCCACTGTCAACACCCATGGAAGCAGTAATCAAGTCAGACATTGTATTATTGCATTGGGCAACTCTGCACAAGACTTCGTCAAAGTGGTAAGTTTAAAGGACTAACGTGCACCTGACCCCAAGCCATGATATTTTCAGTAGCCTCATATACATATGAAAGTTGGACATTGAATATGGAAGACTATAATAGAAGAGTTGATACTTTTGAGTTACGGTTTTGGAAAAAAATATTAAAGGTACCATCCAGAAGAGCAAATAAACCTGTGTTGGAAAAAGTACAGCCAGAATGTTCCTTAGAAGCTAGAATGGTGAGAAGTCATCTTGTATACTTTGGACATATTCTCAGGAGGGACTAGTCCCTGGAGAAGGACACCATGCTTGGTAAAGTTAGAGGGTCATTGAAAAGAGAAGGCCCTCAACGAGAAGGGTTGACCTGTTGGCAGCAGCAATAGACTCAGAAGTGTAACAACAGTTGTGAGGATCGCACCAGAGGTGTTGGCGCAGAGTGGGGCTTTCTCTACTTGACAGCACTGCACTTAACAACAGTGTCTTTTAATTTTGTGTAAACTTTTGAAATAGTATAGTTTTCTATTTTCTTGAATTTCCCTAACACCAAGTTTGTTACCTTACTGTTTTGTTTTTTAACATAAAGTGAATAAAACTAGTTTTTGGAATTAAAAAAAACAAACATATAGGCAGACACGTACATATATTATGTTCGTAAAGATGTTTTGTAATTTGGGGATATTACTAAGATTATTATTAACTTGACTAGCTGGCTTTGGTTGAACTGCCAGCAATGTAATGTGCTTATTTCTATAGAGTATAAATGTGGCTAGGGCAATGATGTGAAAAGTTAACTCTGATCTATATAGCAGAGGTTGAGAATCCACTTAATTGATTCTGTAGAGTTTTGTGTATACTTAACTCTGAATATCTAATTTTTTTTTTTAAGTCAACATTTTGAAGACTCACTAAAACTGCTTTTTTTCCTCTTAAATTTTAGGCCCACCCAAAATACTTGAGTTGTATTGCAATCAGCTGCTTTTTCTTAGCTGCCAAGACTGTTGAGGAGGATGAGGTAATATTTTTCTTTAGTTATGTCAATTTTTAAAAAGTTTCTCTTTCTCAACTTGCTTTTATGTTCATTGAAACGAAAACTGAAAATGAGTTTGTTCTATTCTGTTTTCTCCCTCTCATCATCCCTATGCGTAGAGAATTCCAATTCTGAAGGTGTTAGCAAGAGACAGTTTCTGTGGATGTTCTTCATCTGAAATTCTGAGAATGGAGAGAATTATTCTTGATAAATTGAATTGGGATCTTCACACAGCCACACCATTGGATTTTCTCCACATTGTAAATATACCTGTCTTTAAATTTCTTATATGACTTTAGTCATGTTTCATTTACTCAAAAGTAGATTGCTCGCTTATTTGTTGTAGCTTGCTATTTAGTAAAAGGAAAATTACAGAAACCGCTGAGGTATCGTTCAGTTAATTTTAACTCATAGTCAAGGAAAATTGAAGTTAGGGTATGTGTCACATCATTGAATCGTAAACTTAGAAACTGAGTAATACTGAAGGCTTTATCAATTTCTGTACATCATTTACCGTGACATTTAAGTATTCTTACTAAATGTATTTGACTAAAATGGTATTCTATGGTTTTTTAGTTCCATGCCATTGCAGTGTCAAACAGGCCTCAGTTATTCTTCAGTTTGCCCAAACTGAGCCCATCTCAACATCTGGCAGTCCTTACCAAGCAACTCCTCCACTGTATGGCCTGCAACCAACTTCTGCAATTCAAAGGGTCCATGCTTGCTTTGG